GACTGACTGATGTGCACTAGGCTAGCATAGTATTTTGTTATTAACCAATGAATGGCTGATCATCCAATAACCAATCTAGGATCTATTGTGGTAAAAATGTCACCGCTGTTGACCCCTGTACAGACTGACTAGTAACCACAGACCGGGATGTGCTTCTACATCTGCATTGCTTGCTGTTTGGGGTTTTAGGCTAGGGTTTCTGTTTAAGCACTTTGTGACATCTGCTGATATAAAAAGGGCTTTATAAATACATTTGATTGATTGATACTATGCTGTTTCAATGGGATCCTGTGGTGAATGATGGTAGCTGGTCGAAAAGAAGGCTTGTTTTGTATTTTACCATGCGAGCAAAAAAGTTATACTGTGCACAGGCTGTACTTTATTTGTTTGTGAGGCAAATACCTTCAGTTCAGATATTGCAGTCATTGAAAGCTGCCCTCAACATACACTGAGTGTACAAAACATTAAGAACACCTTCCAAATATTGAGTTGCACTTGCTCTTTTGCCCTCAAAACAGCCTCAATTCGTCTGGCATGGACTCTACAAGCTACTGAAAGCATTCCATAGGGATGCTGGCCCATGTTGACGCTAATATTTCCCACAGTTATGTCAAGTTGGCTGGATGTCTTTTGGGTGGTGGACCATTCTTGATACACATGGGAAACTGTTGAGCATAGAAAACCTACTACCGTACCCCGTTCAGAGGCACTTAAATCTTTAGTCTTGCCAATTCACCCTCTGAATGGCACACATACACAATCCATGTCTCAATTGTCTCAAGGCTTAAAAATCCTTCTTTAACCTGTCTCCTCCCGTTCATCTACACTGATTGTAGTGGATTTAACAATTGACATCAATAAGGGCCTGGTTAGTCTATGTCATGGAAAGAACAGGTGTTCTTAATGTTTTGTACACTCAGTGGATGATAGGCTATCAACCAGAGTCTGTCGTTCACATACCTCAGACCAATCTGGCCCACACCTGATCCAGTTCATCATCACTACCAGCCAGCCAGCCCAGCAAAATGACCTAACCCATGTGGACGCCAGCCAGCCAGGCCAGCAGGATGAACTAACCCATGTGGATGGCAGCCAGCCAGGCCAGCAGGATGAACTAACCAATGTGGACGCCAGCCAGCCAGGCCAGCAGGATGAACTAACCCATGTGGACGCCAGCTGTGAGTCTGTGAACACATAGGTGAACACTTTCCCATTTTCCATCCGTTCCAATTCGCTAACAGTTCCATCAACATCAGTCATAACATCCATCCAACATTGCTCTAACATTCAGGTGTCATGACAAAAATGTCACTGCTGAGAGAAGACAGACAGTGTCCCAGTTCTAAACGGAATGTGACCTTTTTCTTTTTTTTTGTTCCCAGTACACGTCTCGGGTGAGTTTACAAGGCAGTGTTGATGATAACCCAGGACCGTTACGTTTTCCTGCCTCATTTCACAAACTCCAACAACTTCTTCCGGAGACCTTCTCCCTTACCTCACCTCGCTCATCAACTCATCCTTGTCCGCTGGCTATGTCCCTTCCATCTTCAAGAAAGCGAGAGTTGCACCCCTCCTCAAAAAAACTACACTCGATCCCTCCGATGTCAACAACTACAGACCAGTATCCCTTCTTTCTTTTCTCTCCAAAACTCTTGAGCGTGCCGTCTATAGCTAACTCTCCTGCTATCTCTCTCAGAATGACCTTCTTGATCCAAACCAGTCAGGTTTCAAGACTGGTCATTCAACTGAGACTGCTCTTCTCTGTGTCACGGAGGCTCTCCGCACTGCTAAAGCTAACTCTCTCTCCTCTGCTCTCATCCTTCTAGACCTATCTGCTGCCTTTGATACTGTGAACCATCAGATCCTCCTCTCCACCCTCTCCGAGTTGGGCATCTCCGGTGCGGCTCACTCTTACGGCTCACTCGTCCTACCTGGCAGGTCGCTACTACCAGGTGACGTGGCGAGAATCTGTCTCCGCACCACGTTCTCTCACCACTGGTGTCCCCCAGGGCTCAGTTCTAGGCCCTCTCCTATTCTCTCTATACACCAAGTCACTTGGCTCTGTCATATCCTCACATGGCCTCTCCTATCATTGCTACGCTGACGACACACAATTAATCTTCTCCTTTCCTCCTTCTGATAACCAGGTGGCGAATCACATCTCTGCATGTCTGGCAGACATATCAGTGTGGATGTCGGATCACCACCTCAAGCTGAACCTTGGCAAGACGGAGCTGCTCTTCCTCCCGGGGAAGGACTGCCCGCTCCATGATCTCGCCATCACGGTTGACAACTCCGTTGTGTCCTCCTCCCAGAGTGCAAAGAACCTTGGCGTGACCCTGGACAACACCCTGTAGGTTCATGCTCTAAACATTCGCAGAGTACGACCCTACCTTACACAGGAAGCGGCACAGGTCCTAATCCAGGCACTTGTCATCTCCCGTCTGGATTACTGCAACTCGCTGTTGGCTGGGCTCCCTGCCTGTGCCATTAAACCCCTACAACTCATCCAGAACGCTGCAGCCCGTCTGGTGTTCAACCTTCTCACGTCACCCCGCTCCTCCACACACTCCACTGGCTTCCAGTTGAAGCTTGCATCTGCTACAAGACCATGGTGCTTGACTACGGAGCTGTGAGGGGAACGGCACCTCCTTACCTTCAGGCTCTGATCAGTCCCTACACCCAAACGAGGACATTGCTTCTTCCACCTCTGGCCTGCTGGTCCCCCTACCTCTGCGGATGCACAGTTCCCGCTCAGCCCAGTCAAAACTGTTCGCTGCACTGGCACCCCAATGGTGGAACAAGCTCCCTCACGACGCCAGGACAGCGGAGTCACTGACCACCTTCCGGAGACACTTGAAACCCTACCTCTTTAAGGAATACCTGGGATAGTATAAAAGTAATCCTTCTACCCCCCCCCCCCCTACCCCACCCCCACAAAATATTTACAAATAATAATAATAATAATAATAATAATAATAATAATAATAATAATAATAATAATAATAAAAATAAACAAAATAATTGTAAAGTGGTTGTCCCACTGGCTATCATAAGGTGAATGCACCAATTTGTAAGTCGCTCTGGATAAGAGCGTCTGCTAAATGACGTAAATGTAATGTAAAATGTAAACTTCTCATCAGCAGTGCAAACAGGGGAGCCCTTACTGTGGTATTGATTGTCCACCTCATTAAAGTGGTTTGCCTGACTTGCCTGTGTTGTGCCTTTGTCTCACTAGTGAGAGGCAGCTCAGACTGTTTCTAAGTCCGTGATTTCATCAAATCTATGATGGGTTTGATCCCATTGGCCAGTGGTTCCCAACCAAGTACCACACAGGGTACTTGAGAAGATTCATGAGACCATAAGCTTACTGGTAAAATGCACATGAGGGGGTACTTCAGGGGTACTCCGGTTAGAGCACAATTCAGTTGGTGGTACAGTAACCGAAAAAGGTTGGTAACCACTGCCATAGGCAAATAGGTCTTCTAGACATGATGTTCATAGCAATGATGTTCTTCAACTATTAATCTACTGTACTGTGCATGTTTGTCATGCCCATAACCAGAGTCATTCATATGTAATAACATTGTATTACACAGGATGGACACATGGAGGACATGACACACTGATGTCCTCACACGAGACCAGTGTACCAGGCTATCAGCCTGCAGCTCCCAGGCAATGTAGCTATGACTCCGTAGATGTGGGGAGACTGCAATGCAACATAAGGAAAAAGCAATGATATGTCTGGAAGTGGAAACCTAGTCTAGTGAGCATTTCTACACCACATACTGTAGCCATAGAAACGGCATTTCACAGTGGGAGAGCTATAGCTCAAGTAGGACCTCTGTAATTGCTTTGCTGTGTAATAGCTGATAGTGCCATAGATAATGACAATGTCAACCTACAAACTGGTAATTGCCATCGAATTGCTATGATCAAACCACATGCGTCACATACACTATAGTCTATTATAGGGCATAAGACCTTACCTGTGCTCATGGTAATCCTAGGTGTTCTTTACAGTCCGATGTACAGTAGATTTATCCTCATTCAACTGCACACCTCTGGTCAGGACTGTGGACTGCACATTGATGAAGCCTCTCCCTGCAGAAAATGCTTCAGTCGACTCCTCCCTGTCCCTCCAGAGATGTAGCCTATAATAAAATATCGATGCTATGAAATTATCTGCCGCTGACAATCTACTGACGGCGATTCAGCGCCGACATGCATGCACCATGGCTGTGGGTGTACGGTCGAGCCTGACGCTTGCGTCTCTGCTTCGGCAGCAACATCCCTCTAGCCAGGTGATAAACAGCTCCCCTGCGCTCCCCGCGAATAAAGGCTTCTGGGAAATAGAGTTTATACTAATAGAAACCAGTGTTCAAGTGACTCTCAAGTGGGTCTGTTTTGGACTACAATTTCCGAGTACTGCGACGCAGTGTAAACAAAACGCGTTGGATTGCACTGTGCAATAGAGCAAATATCTGTAAATAATGACGATATGCTTATATATCCGCCCTAACAATGGGAGTTGTTGTCCCAAAGGCGAGAAGGCAGGCTACAAGCTTAGCTCCAAAATAAGCCCATAGAAACGCATTGGTAGAGCAGAGGCACTGCAACAATGGTTGATCAATAAATTATTCATTGGTTTTTACACATTAATTGGAATCCATTATAGCTTCAGACTACACTTCTGGATTTGAAGTCTACCATTAGAAATCAATACATTTAAACACTGCGTATAAAGTACAAAACAGAACAGCACAGTGCAGTAAAGCGCTATTCAAGGTTTTATGATTTTTCTTCCTTATGCTTTTTGTGCCTCCTGGTGGTCAAATAACAGCCTCATCTTCAAGGCTTTGTTTACTACAATCGTTTCGTCCAGATGAAAACAAATACAGTATACAATGTTGCAACTAAGTTATACGTGAAACACTGGTTACATTGTTCATCATAACCTCATATTACTATTTCAGGGTGGCAACAATTTAACAAGTTGTAGAGGGGCGTTACCTTGAGTGACGTCAAATATTCGCGACTTGAGACAGCATGGTAGCAGAGACATGCGTCTAATGTTTAGACAAGGCAACTAGTATTTGATTAGCTAGCTAACGTTACTTCTTACTAACATGGATGTGCAATTGAAAGGATCAGATGAAGACGGATTTGGAATAGAGATTGTTCTTCAAGAGGGAGACAAAAAAGCACCATCTTGTGTACATGGTAAGTAACGTGAAACTACGTCTGAATGATATAAAAGTTAGATAGGTTTTGGGAAAAGGCCCATATGAACCTAGCTACCGTATGATATGAATACTAGCACGCTAACTACAGTTGTATCTTACATCTGAATGAGGGTTATTCGGTGAAGTATGTTGATGTTCTTGGCCCATGCAGGTCCAACATTGTTGTTTGAGAAGAACTGCAAAGGAGAGGAGAAAGTCCGGAGGTTTTATGCCTGCTCAGCGTGCAGAGACAGAAAAGAATGCAACTTTTTTCAGTGGGAAGATGAAAAGGTAACAATTATCTTTTTGTATCCCCTGGCAAATATAGTGGGCCTAATATACATGTAACCCAGTCAAACGTTCCAGTGATAGCCACTCTAGCACAGGTGGGATTGGAAATGTTCAGAAACGCGTGCAAAACAAACTGCTTTTGTCCATTTGTTAGCAGCACATATAAACATGTAGCTAGCAATAATGTCATACTGCCAGATGTAATTACAGTAGGCTCATATTTACATATACGTCATTTAGCAGACGCTCTTATCCAGAGCATAGTTCCAATGTGTTAACGGTGAGCATGGGAAGAGCTGTATCACAACGTATAGCTATTCTCTTTGACTGTATGCTCGCCATACCTGTGCCAAAGATGGTGGATAAATTTAAGATAGATTGCTCAGGCCTTTACCATTGAAAAAAAGTACTTAACTGGGTGTGTCTCCCCGTAGACACCAATGCAATAGTAGCCGGGTCTACTTAGTTCATTGGGAGAATCTCATTTGCATCCTCTAGCCTCCTTCACAAAACCTATTTGAGGAGGTCAGAGGGGGAGGACCTCTAGCTTTCTCATCCAATGGGACGCGATGAGTATGCAATTGAGATTCTCCAGTTGACTTTCATTGAACCCGGAACCCTCGCTTCCTCTTCCGTCGCTGCCTGTGCATCCCCACTTCCTGGTCACCTGTGATGTGACCCATGACCCAACATATAGTGCCCTCTATCCAAATTAAGTGTATTATACAAAGACAGACAAACTATAGACCACACAACACAACAACCACATAAGTTGGCCAAAATGCCTCCTACAATAGCCTACATTTCCTTTTATGGAAGCCCAAATAATGCCTCTGACTTCTTGAAAGTCCTTGTTTGTGCACATGAAGTAGTTAACTACACTCCCTTATTTTCACCAGGCGTGTGACATGTCTGTTTGTGTTGTAGGTGTCTGAGGCCAGGCTTTTGGCCCGAGAGGAGGAGAACCGGTCAAAGATGCCAACTTTTACCCATCAGGAGTACTGCTCCAGGTAAATAGCCTACACCTGTCCTGATATGTAGGGGACTCTATCCATGGAACTATTCCATTCCAAGTTAGAGATGGAACGGTATAGTTCTATGGATAACAGTCCAACTGTAAGTACCTTTACTAAGTTGCTAGACAGATCATATTATGAATATTTCACTTGATAGATCTTCTCACTACCTCTACATAATGTTCTTCCAATTAAAACCATGGTTGTTTGTTTCTTTCTTCCAATCCAGGTTTAGAAAAGTTCCTCGCTCTTCCCCTAGGAAGGAAGTTCTGCCAGGACTGCCAGCTTCTCCTCCTACCAGGAGAATGGGAAGCCCACGCCTCTCACAAGATGTCGCAGGCTGATGACATCACAGAGGCCCGGCTGAGCAGGCCCAGTCTGATGTTGAAACCCCTGGAGAACAAGAAGAGTAACGCCCAGTACCTCTTCGCCGACCGCAGCTGTCACTTCCTGTTGGATACCATGGCCAAGCGGGGCTACAGGAAGGTTCTCTGTGTCGGAACACCCAGGTGAGGGCTTTGATTTGGACTTCCCTGTCTGTCGTGTTGTTTAAAACGGGTCATGTTTATTAGGGCCAAACGTTTTGCAAGTTAGGTTCACATAGTACCTCCCGCTTCATGGCGTTCCAGAGTGTTGTCTTCCATTTCGTGCCTACTGGACATTTAGATTAGATTCAAGTGCTTTGTTACGCTCTTTGAATTGTTGTGATTTGTCTTGTGTTTAAAATATATCCATCCAAAGTATCATAGCCAATAATTAAATGTACAGACATTCTATATTACAATGTTATGTGTTTCTGGGATTGCTTGTTATTATGTATGATTGATTGTTTAATTCACTATTTCTTCCAGACTACATGAGCTGATCAAGCTAAGAAACCAGGAAGGTAAGGGTGAGCCCATGAAGAGTCTGCTACTGGATATAGACTTCAGGTCAGTTTTATTTTATTACATTTACATTTTAGTCATTTAGCAGACGCTCTTATCCAGAGCGACTTACAGTTAGTGAATACATATATATATATATATATTTTTTTTTTCATACTGGTCCCCTGTGGGAATCAAACCCACAACCCTGGTGTTGCAAACGCCATGCTTTATCAACTGAGCTACATCCCTGCCGGCCATTCCCTCCCCTACCCTGGACAACGCTAGGCCAATTGTGCGCTGCCCATAAGGTCACACAATGCATTGCTCAGATTAACATTTGCTATGATTGAACAAAACAGGCATAGAAAATAATTGAGAGTAGAGCAAACACTTTGAATAGTACATGAATGTGCATATCGAACGATGCTTATTGACATTTATGGATTGCTATGGGAGTGTTGACGTCCCATATCTCTATATGGCTGGGCCACACCTGTCCCTCCGATGGTCTTAGGAAGCGGAACGCAGGGTACAGGGGCTCCGTGAACTGATGATGCACCCTATCAAACACGGTCATCAAGGCTGCAGAGAACTCCTGCAGGACCTTCATAGTCTCGGCATCGTAGAACGCCAGCTTTCCCTTCTCGTAGTGCACCCACACGCCCACCCTACCTGGCACCCTTCGCCCGCTGGCGGAGCACGACACGTGCCTGTCGTTGTGCCAGGCGGAGAGACGGCCATGCCTGAGTTCCACACACCACGAGTTTCTGTTCCGCCCCAGCTTGGCACCTTTGTCCCGCCCCTTCCGGTCCATGCTGCTGTAGGCCACGCCCACAGCCCAGGCGGAGCAGTAGCGGACGTCGGCCTCCCAGTAGCGTTGGCCCGTTGTCACGGCGACAGAGCCCAGGGCACAGCAGATCTTGTCAAACTGGAGGGGGTGCTCTGGAGCAGACTGGGCGGAGTCGGAGAAGCACATGCCCCGTCCCTCTCCTGTCACTGTGATCTTGCTATGGCAGGTCTGCCTGTCAATCATCACTGTGGAGGAATCTGCAAACGGATTGGAACAGAAACACTTTCTGTATCTGTAACCTCATCTGTTTTCCCCCCCCCAAAATCCTACCTAGATCCAGAGTGAGATTTTACCATGTAGATATTTGGTCATAGCCTCTGTGGCTAGATTGATAAGCAGACGTAAGGTATGTTACCCAGCAGCAGTGTCTTCCTCTGAAGCTGGGCCTTCAGGTCCTTGTAGAAGGAGTGTAGGGTTCTCAGAAGCTTCTCAAACCGCTCTTCATTCAGCCGGATCTCTGCTTCGGAAGCATCCGGCTTCTTATGGCTACAGGGGGACAGACAGTTCCACATGTACTTAGCCCAATGCCAGAGTTCCTATACGTTTTCATCAAAAAAGCTAGTCATAACATCTCAAAATAAGGATATTGGAGAAATTAGAGATTACTATAATATATTTTTTACCTGAGATTGTCAGGAAGATTCTGTAAAATGGAGTACACACAATTGTTGAAATAGCATAACATTTACATTTACGTCATTTAGCAGACGCTCTTATCCAGAGCGACTTACAGTTAGTGAGTGCATACATTTTAATTTTTTATACTGGAATTGAACCCACAACCCTGGCGTTGCAAACGCCATGCTCTACCAACTGAGCTACATCCCTGCCTGCCATTCCCTCCCCTACCCTGGACGACGCTGGGCCAATTGTGCGCCGCCCCATGGGTCTACAACACTGAAACTCTGGTTAGCCTACATGTAGTTCATCTGCAGTATCTAGAATTAGACCTGTGTATCGCCCCCTGTCCAAGTCTGCCCCAGGGCTTTCTGGGTAGTGGTGACGCTCCTCTGGACCTGTCCCAGGTGCTGGTCCCAGCCCTTCAGGACCTGGTCTAGTCTGGCGCTGGTCTCTATGAGGTCCAGCTCCAGCGAGTCCACCATGGCCTGCAGGTCTCTCTGCAGGGCGGCCCTCATGCCCTCGAACCTCTCTCTCACCTGGTGCTTCATCACCTCTGTGCGCCTCTTCATCATGATGAGAGGGGAGGAAATTGGGGAGTTAAAGGGAACCCATAGCTTAGATGCAAGTCTTGTTTCTGAGTTAGCAGAACTTTTGAGTTAGCAGACTGGCACCAGCGCTAGGGAACTTGAAGTCTCTCTAATCCATTATTTTAGCTAGTCTGCGTTAGCAATGCAAGGTTAGGAAATATGGAGAGAATTCTCTATGGGTTGTATTGCCCTTGGCTGCAGTGGCACTCATGGACCATAGGGAGGCAGTGTTGTACTCACAGAGAGATCAGCCTTGCGTTTCTTCAGAGATAGAATGTGGGCCTTAGTTCTGGTTCTCTCTGACTGCAGTTCCTCCAATCGTCTGGACAGCTGCTCCTACAGCACAGATAGGGTTTGAGAGGACAAAACAGTGAAACTCCATTGATGGTTTCTAAATTACTGCAAATGAGAATTGCTTCTGAATAGATTGATTCTCAGTCACTGCTAATGACGAATGATTTTGAATCGATTGGTTTCCATTTAGCTAGTGCAAATGAGAATTGCTTCTCAATCGACCATCTTGGTTAAACAAAGGTGAAATACTAGAGATTACCATCAGGAAATCATTCATCATTGGGAACAGTACTAGTAGCAGTCGGATACCTTGGTCCCATTCTACACAATCATAACATTTACCTCAGAGAGCTTTCTGGATGCTGCTATCTTGCGGATGAGCTTTGGGGAGCGAGGGTACGGCTGAACCACCCCCTCTCCAGCAGAATGACTGTCGAGGGGGACCAGTGAGAGAGCGCCGTCCTGTAACACTGCCTGATATTCTACAGGGGGAACCATGGCACCACTCTGGGCTGAGAGCGAAGAGCCGGGGGACACTTCCAGTCTCTGGCCATCGGTTATTGGGTCCTTATCTGCCATGGCTAAGCAAGATGTACACACTTGTCAGTGGTAGTCACATAGATGTACAAGATAGGAACCACAGTGTCCCTTAACGTTGGAGCATCTGTTCCAAGTGTCATCACTACCAATCTCCTTTTGTGGCTTTACGGGGGGTCAGTATGAAAATGTGTGCACTCACTAACTGTAAGTCGCTCTGGATAAGAGCGTCTGCTAAATGACTGAAATGTATTAAACTTAGACACAATCTTAAGTCTATTCCCTATCACTGTGCATTGATGATCCCCTTCATTCAAGATGTGGTTGAAAGTTGGAGGTGAATTCAGAATTCAATCTAACAAATGTGATGGCTGTGTGATTGTATTTTGTAAGCGAACTGGTTTGTCTGGTTTTTGGAGGCTGCTATTGCTGCGGTCTTGAGGCTTGTCTGTTGAAACATGCCTGCTCTCTCCACGCTCCATTATGATAAATCTATGCACAACTTAGGTTCTTGTCAAAGTTTGCAAAAATACAGGTACTGCTACAACTTAGTAAAATAAATAATTAGCATGATAGCTAGGCTAATTACAGGATAGCAGAACAGATTCATGCATCATTTAGCTGCTCAATGCATTTCACTGAAAGGAATTATTGAAGCATGTTTACCAATGCCTTGTGTCGTTCAATCATAACCATCCTGCAGCTTTAAGGAAATGAGTTCTTTGCCAGTTCTGTGCCCAACAATCCCAAATGAATCTATATTGGTATAGCCTAATGTATGTTTATGAGATGTATGTATGTCTATACTCACTCTGTTCCTATGTCTCATCCGTTCTCTGTGCGTGTCTGTTAGGAATGTGTCAGATTGAACATCAGCAAGGGTGTAATAACGAGTAACAAGCTGAAGCCTGTGTGGGTGTATTTACTGTTGCTCAAGTGCCCTTCAGTGATTTTATTTTTCCAAGATTGGAAATGTATAATCACACCAATACAACCCAGTGGACTTTCTGTTCACTACAGGAGGCGGCTAACCGCCGTGGTAGTCCCACCCTAATCCACCCTGCCGTGGTAGTCCCACCCTAATCCACCCTGCTCCATGCTCATACTGATCCTACATTACATGGAATGAACGATGTAATGAAAGCACTATCAGATGTCATGTGGAAATCTTCTTGTTTTTGTCTGTTCCAGATATGCTCAGTTCTATGGCGAGGACGAGTTCTGTCACTACAACATGTTCAACCATCACTTCTTTGGAGGAGAGGTAAAAGTTTGACCCTCATGATTGTCTTAAATTAATTTATCCAAAGGCTTGATCCTTTTTTTTTTTGAATGAGTATCGAACTCCATGTAATGTTTTTACACAGGCAGCGAGCGGGGTCCTCCAAGCCTTCCTCAGTGAGGAAAATGGGGAGAAGGTAATCCTGGTGTCTGACCCTCCATTCGGGGGCCTGGTGAAGCCTCTGGCCCACAGTTTCTCCCAAATCTCAGAGACGTGGCGGAAACTGCAGACCGCCGGTTAGTGTTGCAGTGAATGAATTTGTCTCCGCTAATAAATAAAATGCATATCGATTACATTAAGTATTATTAAAAACGTAATGCATTTTCCAATTTAAAACATTGACATATACAGTGAGGGGGAAAAAGTATTTGATCCCCTGCTGATTTTGTACGTTTGCCCACTGACAAAGACATGATCAGTGTATAATTTTAAATGGTAGGTTTATTTGAACAGTGAGAGACAAAATAACAACAACAAAATCCAGAAAAACGCATGTCAAAAATGTTATAAATTGATTTGCATTTTAATGAGGGAAATAAGTATTTGACCCCTCTGCAAAACATGACTTAGTACTTGGTGGCAAAACCCTTGTTGGCAATCACAGAGGTCAGACGTTTCTTGTAGTTGGCCACCAGGTTTGCACACATCTCAGTAGGGATTTTGTCCCACTCCTCTATGCAGATCTTCTCCAAGTCATTAAGGTTTCGAGCCTGACGTTTGGCAACTCAAACCTTCAGCTCCCTCCACAGATTTTCTATGGGATTAAGGTCTGGAGACTGGCTAGGACACTCCGGGACCTTAATGTGCTTCTTCTTGAGCCACTCCTTTGTTGCCTTGGCCGTGTGTTTTGGGTCATTGTCATGCTGGAATACCCATCCACGACCCATTTTCAATGCCCTGGCTGAGGGAAGGAGGTTCTTTCCCAAGATTTGACGGTACATGGCCCCGTCCATCGTCCCTTTGATGCGGTGAAGTTGTCCTGTCCCCTTAGCAGAAACCCCCACCCAAAGCATAATGTTTCCACCTCCATGTTTGACGGTGGGGATGGTGTTCTTGGGGTCATAGGCAGCATTCCTCCTCCTCCAAACACGGCGAGTTGAGTTGATGCCAAAGAGCTCGATTTTGGTCTCATCTGACCACAACACTTTCACCCAGTTCTCCTCTGAATCATTCAGATGTTCATTGGCAAACTTTAGATGGCCCTGTATATGTGCTTTCTTGAGCAGGGGGACCTTGCGGGCGCTGCAGGATTTCAGTCCTTCACGGCGTAGTGTGTTACCAATTGTTTTCTTGGTGACTATGGTCCCAGCTGCCTTGAGATCATTGACAAGATCCTCCTGTGTAGTTCTGGGCTGATTCCTCACTGTTCTCATGATCATTTCAACTCCACGAGGTGAGATCTTGCATGGAGCCCCAAGCCGAGGGAGATTGACAGTTATTTTGTGTTTCTTCCATTTGCGAATAATCGCACCAACTGTTGTCACCGTCTCACCAAGCTGCTTGCCGATGTTCTTGTAGCCCATTCCAGCCTTGTGTAGGTCTACAATCTTGTCCCTGACATCCTTGGAGAGCTCTTTGGTCTTAGCCATGGTGGGGAGTTTGGAATCTGATTGATTGCTTCTGTGGACAGATGTCTTTTATACAGGTAACAAACTGAGATTAGGAGCACTCCCTTTAAGAGTGTGCTCCTAATCTCAGCTCATTACCTGTATAAAATACACCTGGGAGCCAGAAATCTTTCTGATTGAGAGGGGGTCAAATGCTTATTTCCCTCATTTAAAATGCAAATCAATTTTATAAAAAAAAAATCTGGATTATTTTGTTGTCATTCTGTCTCTCACTGTTCAAGAAAAACCTACCATTACAATTATAGACTGATCATTTCTTTGTCAGTGGGCAAACGTACAAAATCAGCAGGGGATCAAATACTTTTTTCCCTCACTATATGTTCTATAAGTAGAAATGAAGGACTTAAATCCATAACCTGATTTATTTTGTGTGTGTTTCTCCAGAGAACAGTGTTGTGGAGATACCTATGGTGTGGAGCTTCCCCTACTTCTTTGAGCCGCGCATCCTGGAGTGCTTCCCCTCTTTCACCATGCTAGACTACCAGGTAAGCCAGTTGTATTCAGACATATTGGCGAATCTCAGGAGCACAGCTTGACATATGTGCATTAGTAAAAGATAATGATTGATAATAATGTGCATTTACGAGGGGAAAAAGTATTTGATCCCCTCTCAATCAGAAAGATTTCTGGCTCCCAGGTGTCTTTTATACAGGTAATGAGCTGAGATTAGGAGCACACTCTTAAAGGGAGTGCTCCTAATCTCAGTTTGTTACCTGTATAAAAGACACCTGTCCACAGAAGCAATCAATCAATCAAATTCCAAACTCTCCACCATGGCTAAGACCAAAGAGCTCTCCAAGGATGTCAGGGACAAGATTGTAGACCTACACAAGGCTGGAATGGGCTACAAGACCATCGCCAAGCAGCTTGGTGAGAAGGTGACAACAGTTGGTGCGATTATTCGCAAATGGAAGAAACACAAAATAACTGTCAATCTCCCTCGGCCTGGGGCTCCATGCAAGATCTCACCAAGTGGAGTTGCAATGATCATGAGAACGGTGAGGAATCAGCCCAGAACTACACAGGAGGATCTTGTCAATGATCTCAAGGCAGCTGGGACCATAGTCACCAAGAAAAGTATTGGTAACACACTACGCCGTGAAGGACTAAAATCCTGCAGCTCCCGCAAGGTCCCCCTGCTCAAGAAAGCACATATACATGCCCGTCTGAAGTTTGCCAATGAACATCTGAATAATTCAGAGGAGAACTGGGTGAAAGTGATGTGGTCAGATGAGACCAAAATGTAGCTCTTTGGCATCAACTCAACTCGCCGTGTTTGGAGGAGGAGGAATGCTGCCTATGAACCCAAGAACACCATCCCCACCTTCAAACATGGAGGTGGAAACATTATGCTTTGGGGGGGGGTTTTCTGCTAAGGGGTCAGGACAACTTCACCGCATCAAAGGGACGATGGACGGGGCCATGTACCGTCAAATCTTGGGTGAGAACCTCCTTCCCTCAGCCAGGGCATTAAAAAAATGGGTCGTGGATGGGTATTCCAGCATGACAATGACCCCAAAACACACGGCCAAGGCATCAAAGGAGTGGCTCAAGAAGAAGCACATTAAGGTCCTGGAGTGGCCTAGCCAGTCTCCAGACCTTAATCCCATAGAAAATCTGTGGAGGGAGCTGAAGGTTCGAGTTGCCAAACGTCAGCCTCGAAACCTTAATGACTTGGAGAAGATCTGCAAAGAGGAGTTGGACAAAATCTGCAAAGAGGAGTTGGACAAAATCCCTCCTGAGATGTGTGCAAATCTGGTGGCCAACTACAAGAAACGTCTGACCTCTGTGATTGCCAACAAGGGTTTTGCCACCAAGTACTAAGTCATGTTTTGCAGAGGGGTCAAATACTTATTTCCCTCATTAAAATGCAAATCAATTTCTAACATTTTTGACATGCGTTTTTCTGGATTTTTCTGTTGTTATTCTGTCTCTCACTGTTCAAATAAACCTACCATTTAAAAGGATAGACTGATCATGTCTTTGTCAGTGGGCAAACATACAAAATCAGCAGGGGATCAAATACTTTTTTCCCTCACTGTATGTCTACCCGAGGTCTCTCTGCTTGGCACTCTGCATTAAGGATTGAGGGTAAGTCCCTGTTATAGACTAGCGTCCTGTCCAGGGAGTGTACTCACTCTACAGAAACTGGACTATGGACCTTTCTGGCTCGGACAAGGCTACTTACTTAACTTTGTTCTACTGTATGTAGCCCTTCCACCACCAAACGGACTCATTAGGTAGCCCTTACACCACCAAACGGACTCATTAGGTAGCCCTTCCACTACCAAACTGACTCATTAGGTAGCCCTTCCACTACCAAACGGACTCATTAGGTAGCCCTTCCACCACCAAACGGACTCATTAGGTAGCCCTTACACTACCAAACTGACTCATTAGGCAGCCCTTACACTACCAAACTGACTCATTAGGTAGCCCTTCCACCACCAAACTGACTCATTAGGTAGCCCTTCCACCACCAAACTGACTCATCAGGTAGCCCTTCCACCACCAAACTGACTCATTGTTGTTCTCCTAGGTGGACTATGACAACCATCCCCTCTATAAACATGGAAAGACGGGCAGAAAGCAGTCCCCTGTCCGCCTGTTCACCAACCTGACACCACGAGACATCATCCTCCCTAAGGAGGAGGGTTACAGGTACACACACACCAACCTGACACCACGAGACATCATCCTCCCTAAGGTGGAGGGTTACAGGGACACGCACCAACCTGACCCCACGAGACATCATCCTCCCTAAGGAGGAGGGTTACAGGTACACACACCAACCTGACACCACGAGACATCATCCTCCCTAAGGAGGAGGGTTACAGGTACACACACCAACCTGACACCACGAGACATCATCCTCCCTAAGGTGGAGGGTTACAGGGACACACACCAACCTGACACCACGAGACATCATCCTCCCTAAGGTGGAGGGTTACAGGTACACACACCAACCTGACACCACGAGACATCATCCTCCCTAAGGTGGAGGGTTACACACACACACCAACCTGACACCACGAGACATCATCCTCCCTAAGGAGGAGGGTTACAGGGTCACACACCAACCTGACACCACGAGACATCATCCTCCCTAAGGTGGAGGGTTACAGGGACACACACCAACCTGACACCACGAGACATCAACCTCCCTAAGGTGGAGGGTTACAGGGTCACACACCAACCTGACACCACGAGACATCATCCTCCCTAAGGTGGAGGGTTACAGGGACACACACCAACCTGACACCACGAGACATCATCCTCCCTAAGGAGGAGGGTTACAGGTACCCACACACTAACCTGACACCACGAGACATCATCCTCCCTAAGGTGGAGGGTTACAGGTACACACACACCAACCTGACACCACGAGACATCATCCTCCCTAAGGTGGAGGGTTACACACACACACCAACCTGACACCACGAGACATCATCCTCCCTAAGGAGGAGGGTTACAGGGTCACACACCAACCTGACACCACGAGACATCATCCTCCCTAAGGTGGAGGGTTACAGGGACACACACCAACCTGACACCACGAGACATCAACCTCCCTAAGGTGGAGGGTTACAGGGTCACACACCAACCTGACACCACGAGACATCATCCTCCCTAAGGTGGAGGGTTACAGGGACACACACCAACCTGACACCACGAGACATCATCCTCCCTAAGGAGGAGGGTTACAGGTACCCACACACCAACCTGACACCACGAGACATCATCCTCTCTAAGGTGGAGGGTTACAGGTACACACACCAACCTGACACCACGAGACATCATCCTCCCTAAGGAGGAGGGTTACAGGTACACACACACACACCAACCTGACACCACGAGACATCATCCTCCCTAAGGTGGAGGGTTACAGGGACACACACCAACCTGACACCACGAGACATCATCCTCCCTAAGGAGGAGGGTTACAGGTACACACACACCAACCTGACACCACGAGACATCATCCTCCCTAAGGAGGAGGGTTACACACACACCAACCTGACACCACGAGACATCATCCTCCCTAAAGAGGAGGGTTACACACACACCAACCTGACACCACGAGACATCATCCTCCCTAAGGAGGAGGGTTACAGGGACACACACCAACCTGACACCACGAGACATCATCCTCCCTAAGGAGGAGGGTTACAGGTACACACACACCAACCTGACCCTCCTTCCTGAGAGGGGCTTACAGGTACAACCAATTATTCCCTGTCCCACATGAGCCAAATGCCTGTTACAGTAATATAATCATATTAAGATGTCATCCTAAATGGAACATGGAAAATATAGTTAATCATCTTATTGGTCAGATTAAAAAGGATTCATTTTGGTGGGATAAGTATTAGAGAGGAGTTCTTAAGAGGCCAGATTAAATTAGATCCATCTGTTTTTTTCCTTGTCATAGATTCTGCAAAGTCTGTGAGAGATATGTGTGGTCTGAGAACAAGCATTGTACTAAATGCAACTTGTGCCCTTCAAAGGTATGTATTTCCCCGTGGCAGGCTGAAAAATTACTGTTTAACTTGATGAAATAGTTAGCTACATTGCGTTGAATTAGAGGTGCATGTGCTTCACATGCTGCAATATCACTTTTCACAACAGGTCAGACTTTTCATAATGTTTGTTCTTTCAGGATGGGAGAGAGTGGAAGCATTGCTCAGAGTGTCAGAAGTGTGTGAAGCCATGTGAGTATCTCCCAGACTGCCAACACTGTCAAACCCCAATGTTTGGGTTGAGTGATTGTTTGACTGGTACCTCTGCCCTCTCTCCCTCCCTCCCCAGCCTGGCGTCACTGCCAGTCCTGTGGGCGCTGTGCCCTCCGGGACCATCCCTGTGGGAACAGCCCGGGTCTGGAAGGCTGTTTCAACTGTGGCAGCTTGAAGCACAAACACAGAGCCTGTCCCCTCAAAGACAAACAGAGGACCATTAACAAGTGAGTTTACTCTACTCCATATACCCAGACACAACACAAAGAGAAACACAGACACACAGGGCTGGTACATTTTATTTCCCAAGACACTAAACTACTGTATGTTCCCAGCTCTACCCATATCAGTACAGTTTTGTTACACACCCTAAATGGCGTGTTTCTCTGAGGGTTCGAACTGATTTTGTTTGCCTGTGTGAGTGTGTCTGAACTTGTTCTCTCTCTCCCTCCCTCTCCTGTCCCAGTAAGACTAAAGGAGGCAGGATCCTGCCCAAACAACAACCCAAAAAGTCAAATTCCAAGAGGAAGTCTGGAGCCCAGCGCAGAGCCAACAAGTTGAAGAAGACAGCAGAATAGGTCACATAACCCCACTTTCACAATCACCACACAGCAAGGGAGATGTGTGTGTAGCAGATGTGAAGTAGTTAGTCACTAGTTGCCATCTTACATGTGTGGTTGCTGTACTGTAGACAGTCAAAGAATCTTTAAAGAAATGTAAATTATGTTTTTGCTTAATAAAGATAGAATGTTACACCACCATTTTGAATTCACAGAATTCTTGATTTATGTAAATGTATAATGCTGTTTTTGTAGCGCTATTCTATACAAAGAACAGAAGCTATGTAGTTGAAGAAGGCTCTGCGCATGTTTACCAGTCTTTACTTTAGGTAATTGCTTGCTGTTACCTCCAAAATGAGGTCAATGCCATTACGTCAATATAACTGTATGTATGAAACTAAAACCGAGCCTTGAGATTATATAAGAAAACAGGTGAAAGGCATTAGCTTTTTATTTCTGTGCTCAAGACAGAGGGATAGAAATACAATCTTTTCCTACCCTGCAGGCAGATGATACGGAAGTTAGGGAAAAGGATTCCTTTATGCATTCCATCCAGATCTGGACTAATACATTTGACAGTGAAGAGTCAACTCATGTCCTTCCAAGAAAAAGGAACGCAATATACAAACAATGGAGAAGGATAACTCGGAACCATCTGGAATAGTTTTCTGATGTCACTGCATTTAGCTAGTGTATCTTTAGTTACTGAATCTGAATAAAAATAAATGTATATATTATGCAAGTGATATCTAGTAACAAAAACTACTGTGGGGATTCAATTCAAGGCCAGTTGGTGTAGAGATATTGAAAATCTACCCCTTAAGCAGCTGATTTGCAATCAACATGCACATTCACATGCATCTGAGTGAAGCATAAATGCATGTTCATTGTTTGTGAGAGTTCCTTTGTTAGCCACTAATTACTTCCTGTATCTGTCATCAACACCATTCCCTGTGGATTTTCTGTTTATTTTCTTCCAATTAACCTTGTCTCGTTATTTAGTAAACAATCCTCTGAATATTAGGCTCTGATTCATATGAATGTTACTGTGATACATTGCGATCCTCTATTTGTCCCCGGAGTTCTGTATTGAGTAATGTGTTTTGCGGTGTCCGAGTCGCACCCCATAATGCATTGCAGTGGGCGAAGGTGTGTGAGTAGGAGTGGACGTAACAAGACCTCACCCAGACGCTGATCGGATATGACACTGAGCATACATGAGCACACACTGGTAGCTGCATGGCAACAAGGGAGTATTATAACATGCACATGCTTGCTCACAGTCAGATTCATACATATATTCATGGAGAAGATGGTAAAAAGAGAGATTCACGGTGAGCCATTGCTCACGGTGGTAGTCTCTTCAGGACAACCTTGCTTCAGTGAGCTGAGCAAAGATCAATTATAAACTGTGCCTGGGTTACAAACAGTGGAGTACATTTGGGCTTCTCCTTACATCCAGTTACACTGGTCTGTGTCAATAATTTCCTGGTCAATCATCCACATCAACAAACATCCTGTTTGGATTAGAAGACAAGTTCTGTCAGGCACACTTCCTCAGAGAGAGTGAAAGAAAGAGGGACTGGAAAGAAGAGGCAAATGTGCAAAGCCAGAGAGAGAGAGAATAAAGACAGACAGGGACTGGCAAACCAGAGAGATTGAAAGAGAGAGAAAAAGTGAGGGGCCACCAGACCGTTTGAAGCTGAACAGGGCTGACTGGCGTTTCAAATGCTAAACAGATCTATATGTGCTACCTTCCTCTCTATGAATTGGAAATGAGTCTATGGGGGAGAAAAACATCTAATTTGATCTGGTTATTAACTGGACTGTCTCACCTCCAATCAATTCAACGGGAGATATGTTTTTCTCTTTTTCCTCCCACATCAAACCACTACAGGGACAGGTTATAGGAGGGATGAGAGGAGGAGTAGAAAGAGAGGTGGATCAGAATGGAAATGAGAGAACCGGATGTGTGGGCGCACACACATACTGTACAGTCCCAGTCAAAAGTTTGGACACACCTACTCATTCAGAACTATGAAAATAAGACATATGGAATCATGTAGTAACCAAAAAAGTGTTAAACAAATCAAAATATACTTTATATTTGAGATTCTTCAAATAGCCACCCTTTGCCTTGATGACAGCTTTGCACACTCTTCACATTCTCTCAACCAGCTTCACCTGGAATGCTTTTCCAACAGTCTTGAAGGAGTTCCCACATATGCTGAGCACTTGTTGGCTGCTTTTCCTTCACTCTGCCGTCCGACTCATCTCAAACCATCTCAATTGGGTTGAGGTCGGGGGATTGTGGAGGCCAGGTCATCTGATGCAGCACTCCATCACTCTCATTCTTGGTAAAATAGCCCTTACACAGCCTGGAGGTGTGTTGGGTCATTGTCCTGTTGAAAAACCAATGATAGTCCCACTAAGCCCAAACCAGATGGGATGGCGTATCGCTGCAGAATGCTGTGTTAGCCATGCTGGTTAAGTGTGCCTTGAATTCTAAATAAATCACAGACAGTGTTTCCAGCAAAGCACCCCCACACCATAACACCTCCTCCTCCATGCTTTACGGTGGGAACAAAACATGTGGAGATCATCCGTTCACCCACACCACGTCTCACAAAGACACGGCGGTTGGAACCAAAAATCTCAAATTTGGACTCCAGACCAAAGGACACATTTCCACCAGTCTAATGTCCATTGTTGTGTTTCTTGGCCCAAGCAGGTCTCTTCTTTTTATTGGTGTCCTTTAGTAGTGGTTTCTTTCAGCAATTAGACCATGAAGGCCTGATTCACGCAGTCCCCTCTGAATAGTTGATGTTGAGATGTGTCTGTGACTTGAACTCTGTGAAGCATTTATTTTGGCTGCAATTTTTGAGGTTGGTAACTCTAGTGAACTTATCCTCTGCAGCAGAGGTAACTCTGGGTCTTCCTTTCCTGTGGCGGTCCTCATGAGAGCCAGTTTCATCATAGTGCTTGATGGTTTTTGCGACTGCACTTGAAGATACTTTCAAAGTTCTTGACATTTTCCGTATTGACTGACCTTCATGTCTTAAAGTAATGATGGACTGTAATTTCTCTTTGCTTATTTGAGCTGTTCTTGCCATAATATGGACTTGGTCTTTTACCAAATATGGATATCGTCTGTATACAGTGGGGGAAAAAAGTATTTAGTCAGCCACCAATTGTGCAAGTTCTCCCACTTAAAAAGATGAGAGAGGCCTGTAATTTTCATCATAGGTACACGTCAACTATGATAGACAAATTGAGAAAAAAAATCCAGAAAATCACATTGTAGGATTTTTAATGAATTTATTTGCAAATTATGGTGGAAAATCAGTATTTGGTCACCTACAAACAAGCAAGATTTCTGGCTCTCACAGACCTGTAACTTCTTCTTTAAGAGGCTCCTCTGTCCTCCACTCGTTACCTGTATTAATGGCACCTGTTTGAACTTGTTATCAGTATAAAAGACACCTGTCCACAACCTCAAACAGTCACACTCCAAACTCCACTATGGCCAAGACCAAAGAGCTGTCAAAGGACACCAGAAACAAAATTGTAGACCTGCACCAGGCTGGGAAGACTGAATCTGCAATAGGTAAGCAGCTTGGTTTGAAGAAATCAACTGTGGGAGCAATTATTAGGAAATGGAAGACATACAAGACCACTGATAATCTCCCTCGATCTGGGGCTCCACGCAAGATCTCACCCCGTGGGGTCAAAATGATCACAAGAACAGTGAGCAGAAATCCCAGAACCACACAGGGGGACCTAGTGAATGACCTGCAGAGATCTGGGACCAAAGTAACAAAGCCTACCATCAGTAACACACTACGCCGCCAGGGACTCAAATCCTGCAGTGGCAGACGTGTCCCCCTGCTTAAGCCAGTACATGTCCAGGCCCGTCTGAAGTTTGCTAGAGTGCATTTGGATGATCCAGAAGAGGATTGGGAGAATGTCATATGGTCAGATGAAACCAAAATAGAACTTTTTGGTAAAAAACTCAACTCGTCGTGTTTGGAGGACAAAGAATGCTGAGTTGCATCCAAAGAACACCATACCTACTGTGAAGCATGGGGGTGGAAACATCATGCTTTGGGGCTGTTTTTCTGCAAAGGGACCAGGACGACTGATCTGTGTAAAGGAAAGAATGAATGGGGCCATGTATCGTGAGATTTTGAGTGAAAACCTCCTTCCATCACCAAGGGCATTGAAGATGAAACGTGGCTGGGTCTTTCAGCATGACAATGATCCCAAACACACCGCCCGGGCAACGAAGGAGTGGCTTCGTAAGAAGCATTTCAAGGTCCTGGAGTGGCCTAGCCAGTCTCCAGATCTCAACCCCATAGAAAATCTTTGGAGGGAGTTGAAAGTCCGTGTTGCCCAGCGACAGCCCCAAAACATCACTGCTCTAGAGGAGATCTGCATGGAGGAATGGGCCAAAATACCAGCAACAGTGTGTGAAAACCTTATGAAGACTTACAGAAAACGTTTGACCTGTGTCATTGCCAACAAAGGGTATATAACAAAGTATTGAGAAACTTTTGTTATTGACCAAATACTTATTTTCCACCATAATTTGCAAATAAATTCATTAAAAATCCTACAATGTGATTTTCTGGAGAAAAAAAAACTTTGTCTGTCATAGTTGACGTGTACCTATGATGAAAATTACAGGCCTCTCTCATCTTTTTAAGTGGGAGAACTTGCACAATTGGTGGCTGACTAAATATTTTTTTCCCCACTGTACCTCCCCTAACTTGTCACAACACAACTGATTGGCTCAAACGCATTAAGAAGGAAAGAAATTCCACAAATTAACTTTTAAGAAGGCACACCTGTTAATTGAAATACATTCCTCATGAAGCTGGTTGAGAGAATGCCAAGAGTGTGCAAAGCTGTCATCAAGGCAAAGGGTGGTTATTTGAAGAATCTCAAATATAAAATATATTTTGATTTGTTTAACACTTTTTTTGGTTACTACATTATTCCATATGTGTTATTTCATAGTTTTGATGTCTTCACTATTATTCTACAATGTAAAAAATAGTAAAAATAAAGAAAAACCCTTGAATGAGTAGGTGTGTCCAAACCTTTGACTGGTAGTGTAGACATACACACTGGCCGTTCTGTCAATGTCTCCTCTCAGTTGTTATAATGCCCACTTAATGATCTTTCAGAACCTATTATGG